AGCGATGCTTCAGAAGGCGGCCGAACACATCCGGCAGCTCAAGAGTGACCGACACCAGCAACAGGAGGAATACGATCTGCTCATCCAACAGGTCGATAGCCTCAACCAAACCATTGGGTGTGTCATTCATTAGTAGTATAGTATAATATAGTATATTAAATGGGCTTTTGTTTGCGAAATAGTGTTATTCAGAGCCAAATGCCGGCGACTGGCGTTCCCGTATCGTCTCAACGCTCGACTCAGACTCAAGAACTCTATGAGAATTATATTCGCGAAAGAACTTTACAAAACTGGAAGTTCTGGATCGTATGTCTTCACTAATTCTAGACAGTGTTTGTGTTTTAATTGTTTTATTTGTTATCTTATAGTTTAATATCATAATGAAATCGCTTTGGGAGTCGTATAACCAGACGGTCACCACTTCTAATATGGATGAGATGTCCAAAACAATACATCGTTGGATCGAACATAACTGCTGTCTAATACAATTGAGAAAAGGTATGCATTGTATTGACAAATGTACGGTATATTTGGTTGAAAAAGCATACAAAACAACTCACACAGCGATGCTATGCGTTAACCACTATTGTTAGGATGCTTTCAATGCTATTTTCACAATTTTCTAAATATTTTTAACAATATTTGGTTACCTGTTATATTTTAATTTGTTTAGTCAAATCCCATAGGATTTGCATTGCACTAGAATTAGCATTGCCATAGAGATAGCGTTACCCATGTTAACCCTATGCCTAGCGTGACCACCTCTAGGTTTACAAATAGAGAACATTTGACCAAATTTTCTTTAAAATAGAGAACAAATAGAAAACGCATATTATCAATATCAATATAATTAGTATTGCCATAGACTTAACATTTAGCATAGGATCAGCATTGCCATAAACTTAGCGTTACCCATGTTAACACTATGTCATAGACTTAAGCTATAATCCCATAGAAACCCATGTTAAAGCGTCCCCATGTTAAACCTATGAGAGTCTCCCCATGTTAAAATATAGCTATAGGATTAACATGGTATGCCATGTTAAATCCCATAGGGTGAGGGGAGGGGGGCAGTCGAACGATTCTATAAACCACATTCTGGATAAATGAATTGTGGTTAAAAAGAGTTAATTATTTAACGCCTCCAATCATAAGACAACTTAATTATTGGTTATTTGTTACCATAATGTGAATGTGATAACACATATTGTCCCTAAAACACAATGCTTTAACATAGAAATAGCTAAATATATTGTATAAGAATTGAATGTTTTATAATACATATAATGTCACGGATTATTGTTTTGCCAACAGATGTGTTGAATTCTTTACGCTTTCTGAGCACTTCCACAAACATATTGACTGATCCAAAGTCATTACCAGACGAAGCGATTTTGGCGGTCACGAAGAAAGAGAAACCATTGTCTTCATGAGAGCATAACTAATCCATTGGAACAGCTATTTGGGAGAGAAGGGGAGGGAAAGGAGAGCTTTTCTACAATTTATAATCAAAGCACACTTTAATTGGTTTTTAAATTAGTTTTTAAAATATATGAATAATTAAATGAATAATAATTATTACTAAGCAATCATAAGATCAGTACAAATGTTTGTTATATAAGTTATTATTATATATATATTATATTATATGCCATAATATGATGAGTCTATAAATATATTGTTTGTCGTTTAATCTCATTATAGCATAAATTTTAAGAAATTTTATGTAAGTTATCACAAGAGTTATAAAAACAAAGCATTATATTAACCAAACTATTGTTACTCGCAATAAATGTTTTTTATTATTTACAGAAACCATTAGTTTATTTTTCATAATAATTAATGATTTTGTTGTTTGTTTTAAATATTGTATTGTTTTAACGTTTATTAAAAAAACACTAATTTTTACAACTTTTAAGTCTAATAACCTGTTAATACATGTAATTTTCTAATTATGTTATATTTGACTTAATATCTGCCAATCATTATCGATAGGTTAATAAAGAGCTATTAAACTAATTTCGTTTTCATTATATATCATATTTTTGAAGGTTAAACAAAAGTTCCACTAATTTATGTGAAATGAAATTAAAATTGCATAAGACTTTCACTCAATAGCCGTTTGTTTGGCCGACGAAAGAGTGAAAACAGAGAGGGAGGAGATAATGAGAGAAAACCTGTTTATCATTTTTTGTACATTTATAGAAGAAATCATTGAATTGAATGCAAATCGTCACTCGATTACATCCCACACACACTTCCATCGCAATTATAGCCCAATTTTGGAGAGCTTTTCTCATTAAATCTGCCCAATAGTGTGTATAGACTGGAGTACTCGTCGAACATCTTCTTTGTATACAATTCTCTCCAAACGAGTCAAACACGAGATAAAGAATTTGAGAATTCTGTGGTTAACTCTTTGTCTCATCCAGCCTTGTCTTAATTGATACTTTATAGGAGACCAGACATGGATGACAGCGCAGCCTTTTCAAGAGGTAAATCGGTTTACTTTCTATTGTGTTTAATCTGTATATTCTGTTAGTTATTCTGTGATATTCTTTAGGCAGTAGTGTATTGACGGCCGACACCGACGACTTCATTGTCGGCGACAGAGTTTGGGTGAACGGCTCTAAACCCGGTTATATCCAGTTTATCGGTGAGACCAAGTTTGCGAAGGGCGAGTGGGCGGGCATTGTGTTGGACAACTTCGGCGGCAAAAACGATGGATCTATTAATGGCGTCCGATATTTCCAATGCGAACCCTATAGAGGAATATTCGCGCGTTTGTATCGTTTGAGTCGTTATCCGACGGGAAGAGATGGACAAAGGCTTTACAATTCCGATACCGGGATATTGAAGACACACAGATCTACATCACCCGATGGAAAGACCACAACCACCCGTTACGCCACAACCGCTCCCATCCCTCACTACGCTCTGCCAACCAGAGGGCCCGCAAAAGTGATCACTAAAACCATTACAACTACACTCGACGGCAACAATAACTTCAACTATAACTATAAAATCGGCGATTTGGTGGTCGTGGACACCAAAGACCGGGGTTTCCAGACGGGACGGGTTCGCTACTTCGGCGGCACTTCGTTTGCCAGCGGACAGTGGGTTGGCGTCGAACTCAACGAACCCAATGGCAAGAATGACGGCTCAGTCGCTGGAAAGAGGTTTGCCGTCCCTTTCTTTTGTCACTTATTTGTTACAAAAAAAATTTATTTTGCATTTATTTATAAATCAAAAGCTCAAAACAAAGAGTCAATAAATATTTATCATTATTTATTATTTTCTAAATATTCTATGTAAGGAATTGTGTTTTTATAAAGTTATCATCAGTGTTTTTTCATTAATAATGCAAACATATCCTTGACTTTTCACTACTATTTATCGTAATTCTGACGATTATTTTGCTCTTGTCTTTCATTATATTTTTGAAAAATATATTTAAAGCATTTGGTGTTTCCATGAATTTTATTCTTCGCATTCAATCGATCGTAAAAATATTTTTAGTATTAATTAAAACACAAAAACTTATATACATTTTTAATGTAGGCGTCAATAAATCACATCCAATTGACTCTATAAATACCAGTTTTCCTACCACTCCATCGTATAATTAGCACTTATTCTGTAATTCAATATTAGATATATTGTAATATTTTATTAATAGTAGTCTATTATTATTATTTTAGTTTTGTTTTTTATAGTCCTTTGTGTGTTGTTTAGTAAATAAAAAACAATGTGATAATTTTGCAGATACTTCACTTGTTCCCCAAAATATGGGTTATTCTCACCCATTGACAGAGTGGTGAAGGGAGAGCCCACCCGATCCATCACTAAAACACGAATCATTAATACGGCTGAGAGGACTGGACCCTGGAAAGTAACCCGGGTTTGTATTATCTAAATGTGATTTTAATCATGATCTAAATTGATGTAATCTATTTGATCCGACAGTTCCAATACTAGGACTTCTTTGGGTTTTGGATCATTAGATCAAAAGGCGATGCTTAAGAAGTCATTTATATGTTATATACGATAACATTATTATTATTTTTCTGTTCTGTATTTTAATAACACTTTTTAAAAGCACTTTTTATTATATAAACTATTTTCTGTCATGAATTTACAATAAAAATAATTATTATGTTTATTGCAATGCAATCCAAGAAAACTGTTTCGATTTTAGGCAAACTTTTTATAAAAATTATTTAAGAATTTTATCTTTTTTGTAAATACAAAATCTTGTTTACAAAGAAGAGCTTTTTTGTTTGAATAGGACTTTACATTATATAACAATTAAATTTTCATTCCTTTTATGCATAACATTATTTAAATCAATACTTAAATTTAGTTATAAATAAAACGGTTTAATAATTAAATAAATAAAAATTCATTGTTGTTGGGGAATAGCCTTGGATTTCATTATTGTATAAATATTTGGTGAGAGAGAGAGAGAGAGAGAGAGAGTCACCTGAATCTGGAGATTCATTGTTGGGCAAAGAGTTGTTGGTAGAGCTAGTGTTGGTATTATTGATATTATTG